AAAAGCATAGAATGCATTGAATTGCAACCATAAGACAATTGGTTACCAAATTAACGGCCACTCCTTTAATTAAAACATTGAGATTTAAATTATAAAAACTTAAAGCAATACTCGTTTTCAATTGAATTCGTGTTTATTGTTTCAAACAGTTGTCCTCCAGTTTCCTGTGTTGTGATGGCAATAGTTATGTAATGATAAGTCATTGCCAGCTCTTCATAGAGCAGTGTTTCCAGTGCTGAGCGCTTCTAATACTTAAGGACATAGAATTGTGAATCCATTTAATTCTTTATATTTGAAAGAAATGTAATCAAAGGTCAGTTATATTTGAGAAGAGACCGTCATTTGTCAAGACGGCAATCATTAGGAGAGATGGCAGTCATATATGATGTCAATTAGTTGATGGCATATAATCGGTTATAGCGCCGGTGCCGCCAACCTATGATTCCAGTGCCCAATGTTTGACTGCCAGTACATAATATTTGCGCTCAAATTGAGTGGCTTTCACTAAATTGAATGTTTGGATGTCTATGTCTTGCTTTCATAATTTGCGGTTTTGTATTTCAGATCCAAACCACTCATACCTCCGATCCCTGCGAGCGCTGAATATTTGGGGTTTTAATTCCGCCTCTTTTATGCCAAATGCAAATTCAATGCCCTTTTTGTATATGAATTGCCGAAAGCCATCAAATGTATCGTAATTTCCAATGACTTTCGATAGCTCTTTATTTAACTGATTCTAGATTTACAGTAGTATTACAGTAATGTTCGGCTCAAATGCATGCAATCATTGGTGCCTCCAATGCCTCAGTTTATTGCAGAAGTCATAATAATAATGACAATCTATTTCTTAACGTCTTTACGACGTGCCAAACATTTTCGCTTCGGTTTATAGTTTAGACTTTGACTTCAATTCGAGCTTCACTTCGATTTCGAAATTAAAGTTTAGTTTCACATGAATTAAGCCAACCATTGAGAGGGAGAGGGAGAGAGAGAGAGAGAGAGAGACTGCACAACAATTTTCATGAATCGTCGGCTGATATGTCGGGAATCAATTAAATTGCGATTTTATAGTCAGTTTATAGTCAACCAAATTGATGTATTTTTGATGATCTCTAGCTGTGGGGCATATAATTCAAAGCTAACATTTCCAAAGGCTTTGAGCGGCGAATCTTATGCGACCACTGAATGGCATAAGTGGTGAGCAGTGAGTGAGTGCTCAGCACTGCTCACAACAATCACTGCAATCATTCTCTTCAACCAAAAAACACACACAAGAATGCATTCGTGTTTAGTGTTCTCTCTCTCTTTCTCTCTCTCTCTCTCTCTCTCTCTCTCTCTCCCAATCGTATACACTATACTCTGTCATAAATATAGAATTACTTATGAAATAAGTTTATATAAAACTGTGCCCTCAGGTGTTATCCGTCTTTTGGTGATGAGGTCTTAGGTGCCAACTCTGCGCTCCGACTCTTAACACAACACATACATACCATCTCTCTCTCTCTGACGGCTGTCAAATACCTTATAGATGTTATATAACTTATAGATTTATATCTACTTAGTCCCTAATTTGCAAACATATTCTGTATGTACTCTCTCTGTAAGCATTAATTTACAAACTATGAGGAAAGTTATGTCCACTTCTCTCTCTCTCTCTCTCTCTCTCAATGAGAATTATAAGGGAAACAAATTAATGCATTAAATATAGAGTGAAGTAATTGTAGAATATTCTAATAATAATATAAAAGTCTTATTCTCCTGTCATTTGTTTTAATACTAAGTTTGTGTACAAAATGTGAGACAAAACGGAGACATTCAATGCGAACACACATTAAACACAACGACAATTGAGAGCTAATAATATGAATGAATACAAAGGAAATGAAATGAATATAACATTCAATAATGATTTTTAATTTTTTTATTTTAGTATTAATATTATATAATATACAACTAATGCTAACTCATAAGTAGTGAATCGCAAACTAAAGCCTATGTTAGACATAGAAAAAGAAAGAAAGAAAGAGAGAGAGAGAGAGAGAGAGAGAGAGACTAAAACGACAGGAGTTGTGGTGTAATAGAGGCATCATTACAGTCATTACAATCATTATTAGTTAGCATTGCATTAACCGCTTATTTTGCTCACCTCTCAGCCCATGAGAGGTACCTTTGGATTGCGTTTCTGCCTCTTTTGTGGCAAACATTCAATTTCTCTCTCATTGCAAGTATTGGTGCCCACACTCTGGCACTGCTATGCGTTCACAAAACAAGAATCGTATGATTTTTCAATGCATTCACTCATTCTTTGGGCAAAAAATAGTGTTCAGTCCATAATTGTTGCAATCATTTGGCCGTTGGTTTCGCTCAGACCCGGCATAACAACCACTGGCTCTGATGTGTTATGAAAAACTATGATACCTGTGCTCTCCTCTAACACAAACACTCACTCACACTCTCCTTCTTAAGTAGGCAATGATTTATGTGCTGTAAATTGTTAGTAAACCTGATCTGTTTTGTTTGTGTTAACCACTGCTATCATCATTATTCTCAACATTTTTAACCATTTAATGCCAAATATTCTTTTCAAAAATATTTATTTTACGAGAAAAAGGTAAATATTTTTCGCCAAATCTTTTCGAGAAATCATTACTTGTTTTATTCGTTATTATTATTATTATTTTGTTGCACTTTATTATTAAATGAATTAAAAGTTTTCTTGTTTTACTTTTATTCAGATTTTTATATTAATTTTGGCGCAGATTTTTTTGTTTGGTTTTAGCGTTTTTATCAATTTCTCATTTTATTTATCAAATGTTAACAAAATTAATGGGAATATTATTTTTGAATGTTTTAATTAAAAGTAAATTTTTCCTACTTTTTTCAATTAACACTTTTGTTATACAATGTGTTGCAATTATCTCATCCAATGGGTGTGCATATGAAGGCAATTGTGTATATTTTCTTTGCCAACAACTAATTGTTATCAATGAATGCAATTTCCTTCAGAACTCTCTGTTTCTTATAGTTATATAGTTTCGCAAATTTCTATGAGAAATAAATGACAACTTAAGGCTCACATGTCTTGTGATTTGTCTAACATTTGAATGGAAAGGAAGTCTTCAAACACTGAGAATAGAGATTTGACGAAAGAAAAGCTCACTAAACAATGCAAACACTCTTGTCTTTAGCCAACAAATTAAAAACTGTTTTTTGTGATAATTTCTCTCACGATTAGAAGTTTTCTTCTTTAAAACCATTTTCACAGTAATAACAACTTGTAATGCAATAGATATTAACTTTAATTATAGGCCCTATGCGTTAATAAATAAATTTGTACGTAAGACTCTCTCTCTCTCTCTCTCTCTCTCTCTCTCTCTCTCTCTCTAATATATATAAATTAATTAAGAAATAAAAGCCAAGTCTTAGAGTGAATCGCATTTTGATTGAAATGTTTAACGACTGGTCGACATATAAACTGATAAAATATCGGAAATTTTTTCTAAGCACTTATCAAATAACTTCTGTCACAGAACTCGTGTATATTTCAGAAATTTGAGCAAAATAAGCGGTTAATGCAATGCTAACTAATAATGATTGTAATGACTGTAATGATGCCTCTATTACACCACAACTCCTGTCGTTTTAGTCTCTCTCTCTCTCTCTCTCTCTCGTAAGTCAAACCGGGCATCAAATTCCTTAAACGATTAAATTATTTCTGATTATTTTTTTGAGCGCACATTAAGTTTAAGTTTTACATTATTTGAATGAATGAAAGAAATAAAAATTCCCGAATCACTGAATAATTTAATTTAATGTTATTATAATATCTCTGTTTTGACATTTTATGTCATTTAAATCGTCTTTTGTTTTGTATATTTTATATACACTTTTCAAAAGTAATTTAAATAATTATATGCAATCCCAGCTCTCTCTCTCTCTCTCTCTCTCTCTCTCTCTAATATATATATAAATTAATTAAGAAATAAAAGCCAAGTCTTCGAGTGAATCGCATTTTGATTGAAATGTTTAACGACTGGTCGACATATAAACTGATAAAATATCGGAAATTTTTTCTAAGCACTTATCAAATAACTTCTGTCACAGAACTCGTGTATATTTCAGAAATAATATATCAAAATCAAATCAAATTAATTTTTGTTGCTTTTCTTTCAGTTCGTAAATCTTTTTAAAAGTTTTTCTTCCTTTGGAGACAAAGTTATTGCACAAAAACAACACTATTTTCGCACTTAAAGATTATATCGTCTTTTAGATTGAGAGAGAGAGAGAGAGAAGTGGACATAACTTTCCTCATAGTTTGTAAATTAATGCTTACAGAGAGAGTACATACAGAATATGTTTGCAAATTAGGGACTAAAGCAGCGGCTGATGACAGAAGCAACAGATTTGGCTTCACTTATCTCAAGACATTAATAACAAGAGAGAGAGAGAGAGAGAGAGAGAGAGAGAGAGAGCTGGGATTGCATATAATTATTTAAATTACTTTTGAAATGTGTATATAAAATATACAAAACAAAAGACGATTTAAATGACATAAAATGTCAAAACAGAGATATTATAATAACATTAAATTAAATTATTCAGTGATTCGGGAATTTTTATTTCTTTCATTCATTCAATATATTTTATCAGTTTATATGTCGACCAGTCGTTAAACATTTCAATCAAAATGCGATTCACTCTAAGACTTGGCTTTTATTTCTTAATTAATTTATATATATTAGAGAGAGAGAGAGAGAGAGAGAGAAACGGAAAAACAAATCTTAAACAAAAATTGCAACAAAAAATCGCTTCACTAAAAGAAAATCGAAATTAAAATAAGAGTAAACTTTTTGACTGATATTGAGTTGAGATATGGAAATGAAATAATCATTAATTGTGAGCCGAATAAATAAATAGTTTTTGTCTCTATTTGAAAGCACATTAAAACTAGTTTTGATAGAAATTTAAAAATTAAATGAAGAAATTATGAAAAAGTTTGTTTTTATCTCATTTTTATATATATTTAAATTATTTACAGAAAATTCCATCATTTCATTGAAGGGAAGAAGAAATTAAAATAAATTATTTGTTTTGTTTGCTCTGTTTGTGGCGAAAATGGATTTGCGGACCAATTCTCGGACCACAACCGGAGTCGAGAAGATTGAAAAGATTGAGAAAATGGAAAACGAGAAAATCAAATTCAATATCGACGGCATCATTGCATCCCATCATAATTCAGGTACTCATAGCAATGCATACACTTATCAATACATATTCTTAGACTATTTTCAATTTGTTTACTGACAAATATACTGTATATAATGTAAAGATACATACTGTACTTTACATACTGTATAAATGTATACTTAAACGTTAAAATGAGTGAAAAAATAAGACTTTTCATTACAAATTTAATTTAGATATTGATTTGAATAAATTAAGTCTTAATATTTATTTAACTTCATTCCCATTCATCTCTTATTCTACTTTTGTTTTGTGTATTCATTAAAAGAAAAAATTTTCGATTGAATAATATAATGACATTTGGAAATAATTGGCTCAAAATTACTTTCTCATCGCTTAACAATTAAACTCGATTTAGTCTTTACAGACAGTCTTTAGCTTTTTATAAGATATTATATTTAAAAATAAAATACAAAACATAGTGGAAAAAAGTTATTGAGTTTGCATTGCATTATAGTTTGCTTATATAACAGTTAAGCTTTCAGTAAAGTTCTTATAAAATCACTTATCATTGCTATAAGAATTCAGGCTAATTGTGGTGATTATCGCCTAATCATTGGTTACTTATATCATATTTTGCAAGTAATTGAAACAAAAAACTTAATATCCGATTACGCTTATCATCGCAAACAGTGAGCACTCGTGACCCAACGCCGACAACCACTACATCACCTCTTCATCTCCATCCACACCATCACCACAACAGCACCAGTAATGGTACGCCTCCTCAGCCACTCTCGCAGATCAGTCATCCACTGCCGCATTCAGTGCTAAGTCCGGCCAATCTGTCCCATATGTCGGGTCCCTTCTCTCCATTTCAAACGGCAGCTGTCAGTAAATTATTGGGTGAGCCATCATTTGGACCATATTTTGCACTATAATTGCTGTTAATTTATTATTAATAATGATATCATAAAAATATGTATATAAAGTGTATATAAGACACACTTCTTGAACGACATGATTACTCATTTGTTTTTATTAAAGCGGAGTTCCGTTCCTTCAAACACACAATTACTTAACAATTAATGTCTTTTATATCTTTCAATCATGACTTTTGAATCAATTATTTCGTTTATAACGTTAACGTCTATTTGAGTTCCTCTTTTGTGTTCAAACCTTTCATATCATATCATATATTAATAAATCTCTATTCACTTCGAGCTTATGTTCAATTCAAACGCAGACTATTATAATAGAGAGTGAAATCAGATTAGATATAAAACAATACGAAAGAAACCTTTAAAATAATAATAAAGTTTAGGCATTGGTTAGTGAGTAGATCGACACCGGGAGACGCGGGCACACAATAGCACCTGTATCCGGTTATGTCGATTATACATATTTAATTGCCAACCCTTTCATTACTTGTCATAAAGACATATAAAGTATTCAACTTTTTTCATGATTTAAATGTTTTTCAAAGAAACAGAATTGAGTTTATGTATTGTCGGAGTGCAGGGGAGGGCAGGTGTGCCTCTGGTTAATGCAATTGTTAATATGTAAGTCGTTTAGAAAACTAAATACTTTTCACATCTTTTTTATTGTCTCTCAAATTTTAAAGCATTATCTGTTGTATTGAATGAATCGCTTAAACAGAATATTTCTTTATTTGATAAATACGTGAGACTTATATTGAAAGTCGAGAAACGGCTATTAAAAGCAATCGTTAAGCACATAAAAACATACACAGAATTTAAAGTACAGACTATAATACAAATGTTTAAACATTAAGTTTGTATTCAAAATATGATTACATTAATTGTTAGGTCGCTATTACGAGGCGTCGTCGGGCGCGTCGGCGGCCGCACTGTTTCGGTCGCCAAATCACTCGACAGTCATCGGCGGCTCAAAGCCAAAGGTCGCGACACCCGTTGTGGTCAATAAGATTGAACAATACAAGAGAGAGAATCCGACAATCTTTGCCTGGGAAATACGCGAACGACTTATCAGCGAAGGTATATCTAATTAAATGATTTCAATTATAATTTGTAAACTCATATCAATAACTATTTTTTTGGTGAATGAGTTTTGATGCGAAATTTCATTAACTGATAACTTAATGGACAAGTGATTAATTGAAATGCTTTGGGCATTGCTTTGAGTCGCGAATGAAAATGAAAGACATGTACCCAAAAAATAAGACTAAAATTCTGGATATTTTGCGATTATATTTCGCAGACAAAAATATAAATAGAAATAAATCTCCGGTTTTTTGCATCCAATGTAAAACTCTTGTGAGATATTGTCAGATATGACTCGTTATAAATGATTGCTTTCGAAAAGTGAGTTATTTTGTGCCATTTCTCTGATGAATTGGACAGACATTTCACGTGTGCCTCGCATTAGCGGCCGATGATTAGAAAATTGTGGCATAGATTTAATATAAATCGCTTTTTTGATATCGGATTTCAGTCAGTAATACAAGTGAGTGATTGCTCAGTGGGCTTACGCTTAGGGTAGGGGTAGGGCTGCGGTAGTAATGTGTGAAATTGGCCACAAGAGCGCAATTACTCGCATGAATTAAATGCCTGCGCGCACACA